GTTTATGAGAACAATCCAAGGGACAGGAGAAACCAGCCAGAGACATCACATCAAGTTACTCTGTGGTGTCCATTGCAATTGTGTGTAGGAATTTGTACCCAAGCAGAACCATAGTGAGTGCTGACCCTACCTTTTATTGAATAATTTGGCTTGTACTAGAGCTTGCAATGAGCTCCCAAGCCCTACAAAAAGAAGGAGAAAAAAATTCAATTTTTATTTATATTTATAAAACTGATGAGTTTGTATATAAAGATAGTAGAATGAAACAGACATTATTGCTATGTGTATACATGTGACTGCATGACCAATATGATTCTGCAACCTGTACACTCAGAAATATGAGAAATGATATCCCTTCTGATTCAGATGTATGATATATCAATGTCATTGTACTGTCATGTGTAACTAATTAAAACAAAAAAAATTAAAAAAAAAAGATAAAAAGTGCTGGGTGTGGTGGCACATGCCTATAATCCTAATGACCTTGGAGACTGAGGTAGAAGGATGGCAAGTTTGGGGTCAGCCTCTGCAACTTAGCGAGACCCTCAGTAACTTAGCAAGACCCTGTCCCAGAATAAAAAGGACTGGGGATGTAGCTCAATGGTAAAGCATCCCTGGGTTCAATTCCCAGAACCAAATAAATGAATAAATTAAAAACAAAAGGATAATTCCTTTCTTCTATTCTTATACCTATTCTGTTTTCTCCTTTTTCTATATATATCTCTAGTGGGTCCAAGTTTCCAGTTTTTAATATGTCATACAATCCAGCAGAAAATGCAGTCCTGTTGTGTACAGTAAGTAACCTATGGATTCCTCCTAAATTCTCCTTAGGTATTTTTCTGATCCCCAGAGTGAAACTGATGACTTCTTAAAAGCTATTTAATGGTCATTTTGCAGGAGCTAACAAGTGAACACAAACTAAGCATAAACTAGAAAGGCTTCAGTTGTCATAAGGAAATTGAAGGTTTGTGAACATGAATCTTTCATAAGGCTAATATAATATCTAAACTTAATGAAGCCTCAAGATGAATGACCCAGATTACTGAAAGTGATTGGAGAGATAGTTTACATGTATCCCATGCAAAGGAGATGCTTATATTGATCTCTCCCTTTGGGGGAAAATAGATTTTGGAAGGGGGTTCTTTTCAATGAAGTTGACTTCAGAGTAATCAAAGCCTTTTTTTTTTTTTTTAAGAATATTTTTAGGGCTGGGGTTGTGGCTCAGCGGTAGATCGCTTGCCTAGCATGTGCGAGCCCTGGGTTCGATCCTCATCACCACATAAAAATAAAATAAAGATACTGTGTCCATCTACAACTAAAAAATAAAATATTATTTTTTTAAATAATATTTTTAGTTGTAGATGAACACAATAACTTCATTTTGTTTATTTATTTTTTATGTGGTGCCAAGGATCGAACCTAGTGCCTTACATGTGCGAGGCAAGTGCTCTACCACTGAGCCACAACCCCAGCCCCATCAAAGCCTTTCTTGTCATACAATTTGCAAAAAGAAAAAAGGGAGGAAAAAAAGACCATTCTAATTTCAGTGCCCAGTGGCCAAATTTAAAAGAATTAAAACATCTTTTCCCATATAACCTCTAGTGTCCAATCTTGGTCATTCTCTTAATATCTAGCAGTCCCATATTCTTATGGCAATTCCCATATTCTCCTGGCATTTTTTTTTAATGTCTTTTTTTTTTCTCTCTCAAGCAAACTTTTTTTTTTTTTAAAGAAAGAGAGAGAGAGAGAATTTTTTAATATTTATTTTTTAGTTTTCGGCAGACACAACATCTTTGTTTGTATGTGGTGCTGAGGATCGAACCCGGGCCGCACGCATGCCAGGCGAGCAAGCTACCGCTTGAGCCACAAGCAAACTTTTTTATATTAATAAGCATAATTCAGGTGGGACTCCAGAATGTCAGGGATCTTAGGCTTTTGATTTGTGGAAAAGGGCAATCTTGGTTTTCATTCAGATAAAATCTGCCTCTTTAAAGGATAAAGAAAATATCATTGCTGAGTTGGTTAGCTAAGAGCTTTATAATTCTTAGATATGGCAACATTTGAATACTGTCTGGGTGAAGGGGGAAGGAAGTATAGTTTCATATTGTTGTCTGTGTAATGGAACTGTTTTCTCTGTTAGAATAAACTGGTATCTTGGGTGCTCCTCACTAACATTTTAATTTCCCTTTTCTCCTACAGAGAGCCAGCAATTTAGAGAATAGTACCTATGATCTATACACCATCCCCAAAGATGCTGATTCGCAGAATCCTGATGGTAGGCATGCTCTTTGTCTACCTAAACCTGCTTCCAGCTCTCCTTACCCACATCATTATTCTTTTTCAAGGTTTTCACATCCCATCCCCAGGCTGTGGTCACATCACTCATGTCTGTTGGCAGGTGCTGCTGACAGTTACATCAGAGGCGACCATGGTGTGAAATATTCATGTTTCCCCTCCATTTTATTACCCCAGCTAGATATATATATTTTATAATTTGGTTATTAGAAACTCTCCATTTTCTCTTTCAGCACAGCATGTTATCCTAGTTTATTGTCAGCTGATATGACTTTCACCCTGGTAGTTTCATTTATTTAAAAATGTGGTTCCAATCTTGCAATGTCTCATCCTGGGACTAGGGATTTATACTCTTCTATCCACATCCAGATCCGATTTGCTTCCTTTTGCATGTCAAAAAGATGAGGCTGCTAACAGCCCAGGGCCCCACCTGGGATCCCAGGATCCAGCTGAGACCCCTGCCTACCTCTTTCATCACCACTATCCCTTGTTGATGTTCTTACTATTAGAACTTGCTGACAAAACATTCTCAGAATGGATTTTACTCTGGCTTCTGTTCCTATCAGTGCTCTTCCTCCAGGGGGTTTATAGACTTTAGCATATCAGAGATTTATTCTACAGGTCCCCACTTTCACTAGCAGACTTTGATCATATTTTAGACCCCATCAACACATTCTCAAGAAATGTTTTGCTAGCTCTGTCCCTTTTGTGGGTGCCTCAGGTCATTATTGTTAATCCTGTTCACCTTTTAAATGTGCTCATACTGACAGAGAAAAATCTCTATATATTTGGTATCCGTAAGTCAAAGTCCCCCTTACAAATTAGTCATTTAAGCCAATTCTGAACTAAGAACTAAATCTTGTGATTTGGTTCTTCCCAACCTACTCCCTTGCTTTTGTCCCCCCAGATCTGTTTACAATTATTAGTTTAAAATATTTTGTTCAGTTATTATTTTTGTATATATTATATATATTATTATATCTTTTATTATTATTATTATTATTATCATTATCACTTTTCTGTTCTCCATCCTTTGAGGGAGATAATAATTTATAAGGTTTGACTCTTTGTTGGGAAACAGAGGAAGAAAAATCAAAAGCTGGAGTAGTGTTGTTCCCTGACCCCTAAAACAGGGAATGTTGGTTATGATAATTAGTTTTTCAAATTGTCTGCCACTCTAGGTGCCAGAGAAATATAAGGCAAGGGTGACCAGCATGTTTTGTCCAGTTTTCTACTGTTATAATATATGAAAGAATATTTCAATGCATCTTTCACAAGTTTCTCAGAGGGTAGAGAGGAGTGTCCATTGGAAAATTCTAATCAACCACCAGAAATGAGGAACTCTCTTTTGGGGTAATAAGTCTTTAACACTTAACAGAGCAACAGCTTAGTGCTAAATACTGCCCAGCATAGAACTCGCTTGTCAAGATTTGGTTGGGAGTGCTCTGCCCCACTGTGCCTTACTAGGAGGTCTACATTTGCATGTTAAAAGCAGCGGAGCAGCTGCAACCTGGGGAGGGGGCTGCCTCTACTCCAGTTTGTTCTGATAGGAGGTCCTAGGACATTGACAGGCTGCTTGCTGTGCCACAGCTTGGCCAGGGAGGCCCTGCTCGTTAGCTTGATGGAGTGTGCTGTCTCTCAAGATGGGCAGCCCTTCTGCCAGTATATGGTGTTGGCTGAAGTGCAGCCACTTGGCCAAGAGGAAAGAGGCTTGGCAGGGGTGGGGGTTGGAGTTTGGAGGGGACTGGTAGGGAAAAGTCACTTGACAATAGCCTCAGGTTATGGCTGAATTAGTTAGGAAGCAGCTGAACTGGCAAAGCCAAGATGGCAGCCAGCAAGACTGGCAGCTCTATGGCATCTGACTCTGTCACCTGCTAGTAGCTCACCACATGCTCCTACCCTTTGATTTTGTTCTCTTCAGCCCCTGAAGGGAAGCGATCGTCAGGCCTGACAGCCGTTTGGGTTGCTCGAAATAGGTTTGCTGTCCTAGATCGAATGCATTCGGTAAGTTAAGACTAAAAGCTGAAACCAGTTTGGGGAGTGTAGTGGCAATGGCCTGTGTATTGCAAAATAAAAAGTACTGTTTTTTCCTTATTCCCCCCTGACAGCTGTGGTTCTCATCTATTGGCTCTGCCTTTATTCCTAGCCCTGAGCTAACCCCCTGGGGGACAGATTTAAAGTTTTTTGATTTGAGTTGATATTACTGTAGCTTTGGGCTTAAGAAGCAAGATAAAGTCACTCTTGACCATTTGAGCAAAGCCGAAATCAGAATCAAATTTGAAATGAGTGGGTTGGACGATGAGTAGATCTCTCTACTTGACCTATCGCCATTGGAACTTGAAATGTAATAGGTTCAGCACAAGATAAACAAAATTCTCGAGAAAATATTTAACAAAAATTTAACCCCCTCTGGGGCTGGGGATGTGGCTCAAGCGGTAGCGCGCTCGCCTTGCATGCGTGCGGCCCAGGTTCGATTCTCAGCACCACATACAAACAAAGATGTTGTGTCCACTGAAAACTAAAAAATAAATAATAAAAAAAAAATTATCCCTCTAAGTACTGTTTTCTCTCTCTGGTTGACTGAGAATCTCAAGTTTCATTGGACTTCAGAATTTTTTTTCTTTCTTTTTTTAATGATATTAAGACCCTTAGAAAGGATTTTGGAGTGATCTGTCTACCTGATGTGTGATTAACTTGGACAGAGAGAAATATACTTAGTTTATTGAAGCTAAGGAATAATTGCTGAGGGATGTCATTAGCTGTCATCATTTTGTGTAATCACTTTTTCTCTTAATTCTTTAACATTCCTTTCAGCTTCTGATCAAGAATTTGAAAAATGAGATCACCAAAAAGGTACAGGTGCCCAACTGTGATGAGATCTTCTATGCTGGCACAGGCAATCTTCTACTTCGAGATGCAGATTCCATCACACTCTTTGATGTACAGCAGAAACGGTAACATGATAGGTGCCTGTAAAAAAACAAGCATATAGTGGGGGAGAGTGGACAACTTTAGTGGGAGCTTTTCTCTCCCAAGGAACAAAGAGGGATACCAAGGTTAATGGCACAGTTCTTGTGCTTAAAGGGGTTTATAATCCAGGGATGAAATATGTAAATATCCCTAATAATATGAGAAAATGAGAGGCAAGGGCTTGAAAAGAGGAGAAGTATAATGCAAGCCAAATTTTTAAGTTACAGAGCTACTATGCAGAAAATGTTTATTTGGCATTACATTGAGAAATTGGGGTTTATGTGTGAGGATAAAAAGACCTAGATCTTAGGCTGGGGTTGTAACTCAGTGTTGGAGAGTTTGCCTCTCACGTGTGAGACACTGGGTTTGATTGATCCCTAGCACCACATAAAAGTAAATAAACAAAGATATTTTATCCATCTATAACTAAAAAAAAAAAAAAAAAAAATTAACAAAAAGGACATAGGTTTTAACCCTAGACCCAGGAGTCAGATCTATTCATGTTTGACCTTCTCTCTCATTTCAGGACTCTGGCATCTGTGAAAATTTCTAAGGTGAAATATGTTATCTGGTCAGCAGACATGTCTCATGTAGCACTACTGGCCAAACATGGTAAGTTTTCATATATCCACCCTGATTTAGAGCCCACTCCCTCCCTCCCCCATCCCTGCCAGTCTGCTGCACTCATTCTGTCCAACAGAGCACTCATGCCCTTTGCCTCTTACAGCCATTGTGATTTGTAACCGCAAACTGGATGCTCTATGTAACATTCATGAGAATATTCGTGTCAAGAGTGGGGCCTGGGATGAAAGTGGGGTGTTTATCTATACCACAAGCAACCACATCAAATATGCTGTCACCACTGGGTAAGTTTATTATCTGGAATACAGAACAGGAGAAGGTAGCTTCTAAAAACTCACTGTCCTATCTCAAGATGTCACTGAAGTGCCCTGTGAGCTTCCTTCATGGAAAAGCCTTGTCTGGCACTATGTACTAGAGACATCAGTATATACTTTTTTCTACTCTTTTAAAATTGTGAGGCCAGGACTGGGTACCTCATATGTATACCAGAGTAGAATTGCTGCACCATAGAAGTATACATACCTTCTCATTTTCCAGGTATATGACACTTTTATTTTTGTGCATATGATAGATGTGTAAGAATATCTCATTTTTATGAGTTCAGAGCACCTGCCTAGCACATATGAGGCACTCAGTTTGATCCTCAGCACCACATAAAAATAAAGGTATTGTGTCCACCTTCAACTAAAAATTATTTTAAAAAGAAAGAGGATTAAATTATTTTTTTAAAAAATCGTGATGCCAGAAAATCATGACATATACCTGCAATCCCAACTACTTGGGAGGCTAAGGCGGGAGGATCAAGAGTTCGAGGCCAGCTTGGGCAACTTAATGAGACCCTGTCTCAGAAAAACAAGATTTAAAAAAAAAAAAGGTAGAAATAAAATTGTGGGGCTGGAGTTGTGGCTCAGTGGTAGAGTACTTGCCTAGCATGTGTGAGGCCCTGGGTTGATCTCAGCACCACATACAAATAAATAAAAATTTTTTTTTTTTTTTTTTTTTTTTTTTTAATATTTATTTTATTTTTTTAGTTTTCAGTGGACACAACATCTTTGTATGTATGTGGTGCTGAGGATCGAACCCGGGCCGCACGCATGCCAGGCGAGCGTGCTACCGCTTGAGCCACATCCCCAGCCCAATAAAAAATTTTTTAAAAAAAGAAAAAGAAATAAAATTGTGAACTATAACCCAAATGTAGAAAATTTTATAACTTTTAAATATATAGAATGGCAAACAATTTGTATAGTGAACATGAGTGAAATTATACTGAATATATTATTTTTTATCTTGCTCAATATTTTCTTTATAAGATTTTTTCATTCTGTACCTCTAATTTATTTATTTCATTATTATATAATGTCTCATCATATGATTATACCATGTGTGAGTTACTATTCTTAAGGGATATTTGAGTGAATTCTAGTTTTTGACTATTACAACAATTCTCTTTTTAAACATCCTTTTACATATTTTCTGGTACACACATACATCCATTTCTCTGGAATGTATACCAGAGTAGAATTGCTGCACCTTAGAGTATACATACCTTCTCATTTACCAGGTATATGACACTTTTGTGCATATGATAGATGTGTAAGGGTGTCTCATTTTTATGATTTTGTTGTAGGTTTTTTTTTTTTTTTTTGTATTCCCCAATATTGGGGATCAAACCCTGGGCCTCGTGCTTGTTAGGCATGTACTCTACCACTGACCTATATTCCCATTCCTTTTTAAGGTGATCTTGTTTGCCCAGGCCAGCCTCCAATTTGTAATCCTGTTCCCACTTCCTCTCCGGTAGCTGGGATTACAGGTGTATACCACTGCACCTGGCTTTGCTCTATTTTTCCATTGAGTTATCTATTCTTTCCCAATTACCTAATCTTTCCCATTTTATTTTGTTGTTATTTTGTGTGAGTTCTTAATATATTTGGATATCAATCCTTTGTCAGGGCTGTTACAAATATTAAAATCATGTTTTCTGATTCTATTTTTGTTATTCCTTAATAAAGCAATAGAAATTAATTTCAGTGTAAATTTATGAAATCTTATCCTTTATGGATAGTTGGGCTTTGTATCCTATATATTAAAAGAAATTAGTGACCTCTATAGGCATTCTTCTATATTTTCTTACAAAAAGTTTATAGTTTTGCCTTTTATATTTGTAATCTACCTGAAGTTGATTTTTGCACATGGTATGAGATATAAGGTGATCAGTTCTGTACTTTTCAATAAGATCAAGCAGCTGCCCAGCATCATTTATTAAAAGTTTACCCTTTCCCCATTGTTCTACAGTGCCATTTTTGTCACATGTAAGTCATGTTTTCAAAAATGCAAGGATTTTGGGGGACTGGGGTTGTGGCTCAGTGGTAGAGTGCTCACCTAGATGGGAGAGGCCTTGGGTTCAATCCTCAGCACCACATAAAAATAAATAAATAAATAAAAGTATTGTGTCCAACTACAATTAAAAAAAAAAAATGCAAGGTTTTTTTCTGTGATCTGTCTCTGCTCTGATTGCACATTTTCTTATATTGTAGCTTTATGATAAATCTTCACATGTAATAAAACAGGTCCTCTAATCTTTTCTAGGTTTTTTTGTTTTTGTTTTTTTCCAAACATGAAATCAACTGAAGTTTGGGTTGCATCCAGTATGTCAATTTGAAGTTAATTATCATCTTTACAATATTGATTTTCTGATCTGTAAACATGGTATAGTAGCTTCTCATTTAGGTCATTTGAAGTGTCTTTGAATTAAGGTTTTTTGTTTGTTTGTTTGTTTTTGATGATTCACAGGAATTATCACATTTATTTATAAAAATCCTAGTAAGTAGTTATTAATATATTTCTCCACTTAATATAAGAGGGAAGACACCAAAAAAAAATTTTTTTTGAACCCAAGGGTGCTTAACCACTGAGCAACAATCTTAGTCTTTTAGTCTTTTTCATTTTTTAAATTTTGAGACAGCATCTCATTAAGTTGCATAGGGTTTTGCTAAATTACTAAGGCTAGCTCAAATCTAAAATCTGTGCTCAGCTTAAGGCACTGAATTCTTGAGAACTTCTCAACTCACCTGATTTCTAAGAGAATAATAAAAATGAATTCTTGTTGCTTTAATTTGTATCTTTTTTTGTGAATTTGTGCATTTGTTTCTATATATGTAGTGGTCTTTTTCCCCTAATAAATAACTTCTTATAGTACTTCTAGATTAAACATTTTAGGATTTTATTTATTTATTTATGTGTGTATGTGGCAATAGTGGAATACATTTCAATTAAGTTTTATAGTTTATCTATAGATATTTTGTGTTTCTTTGGTTAGATTTATATCAATTTTATTTTGAAGACCTTGTTACACTCCTGTTAATTTCTAATTTATTTTTTATTTTCTTGAATACTCAGCATCTGTGGGCAGTGACAGTTTTGTTTCTTCTTTCAAATGCTTTTACATTGATAAAGCTTTCTAAGGGTGCACTTTTATTGTTTTGTTGTTGTTTGTTTATTTTGAGGTGGTACTAGGGATTGAACTCAGGGCCTTGCACATGCTAGGCAAGTACTCTGCCAACTGAGTTGCTTCACCAGCCCCCTAAGGGTGAACTTGTAGTGTACAGACATTATATAAGCATAAATATATACAAAGAGCTGGGGATTTGTCTCTGAGGTTAAGCTCCCCTGGATTCAATCCCCAGTGTCCCCCACCCCCAAAAGGATGTGCCCTTGGCTTGTTCATTTTTTCACAGGCTAGATTTTTCCCTCACTTACTCATAGTTGCAATCTCTACTCCCTATTCTTAGGGACCACGGAATCATTCGAACTCTGGATTTACCCATCTATGTCACACGAGTAAAGGGCAACAATGTATATTGCCTAGACAGAGAGTGTCGTCCTCGGGTACTCACCATTGATCCCACTGAATTCAAATTCAAACTGGCCCTGATCAACAGAAAATATGATGAGGTATGGAGTGAGGGAGCATACTAGAGGTATCAAGAGGGGAAACATTCCTTTTTTGTTGTAAGTAATCTCTACTTCCTACTCTACCCAACCCCAAATGTCTAGGTACTACATATGGTGAGGAATGCCAAACTAGTTGGCCAGTCTATCATTGCTTATCTTCAGAAGAAGGGCTATCCTGAAGTGGCACTGCATTTCGTCAAGGATGAGAAAACTCGCTTTAGTTTGGCACTGGAGTGTGGAAATATTGAGGTGAGAGGAATATGGTCATTCGGCCCCAGATCATTTTTAGAGAAGGTGAAAGGGTTGGGGGCAGGAGGTGGGGTATTATCCCGAACTTGCTTCTTAAACTACAATGATAGAATTTTTTAGTTATTAGATTAAACCATCTTCCTGTTGCTGTTTGCCTATTTCTACTTTTATTTACCATATTTTTATTCTTAGTTTGAATTCACTAATTTCTAGGATAAAAGCAAGATTACATGAAATTTCATATATCTCATTATTTCCTTGACACTTGATCTTGTTTAGACAACAGAGTGCTTATTAATTATTGAGGTACAGAGGGTACAGGCATTATTTGCAAAGGAGAAGAGAGCTTAGGAGACTTGTTTTTCCAGTTCTATACTTCCTTCTTTTATTATATCTTCTGCCTTTCTTGAAGCCTCTGTGGCTCTTCAAATCTGGCAGATAGAAAATAAGATAGCTAAGCAAGAACTGTCCCTGTGGAATCAGCAGCTGCTAAGTGATTCTGTTGTAAAGGCTAATTTCTTTTTTCTTTTTTTTTCCATGTGTGTATGGGGTGGAGTGCTGGGGTTTGAACTCAAAGGCACTTAACCACTGAGCCACATCCCCAGCCCTTTTTTATATTTTATTTTGAGACAGAATTTTACTAAGTTGCTGAGGCTGACTTTGAACTCGTGGTCCTCCTGCCTCAGCCTCCCAAGCAACTGGGACTATAGGTGTGTGCCACCACACCTGGCATAAAAGCAAATTTCTGAGGATGAGGATAATATACTGTGATGATTTCTTCTGTTCGTGAATCCAAAGATCCTATTTGTAGATAGGATTCTCAATTAAAAAAAAAAATACAGTGAAAGCTAGGAGTACTTAAAAGTAAAGGAAGTTCATTAGGAAATTTATTTCAGCAAATGCTTTCATTGCTAAGTGCTTGGTTTTGAGTCATAGCATCCTTCGCAGTACCCTGTTAACACTGATCCTGGGTGTCTTTAGATTGCTCTCGAAGCAGCCAAAGCACTGGATGACAAGAACTGCTGGGAAAAGCTAGGAGAAGTGGCCCTGCTACAAGGGAACCACCAGATTGTGGAAATGTGCTATCAGCGCACCAAAAACTTTGATAAACTTTCCTTCCTATACCTTATCACTGGCAACCTGGAGAAACTTCGCAAGATGATGAAGATTGGTGAGGGCCTAAAAATGAAAGATGGGAAGTGGGGGGTACAGTGGAGGGCAAATAGACAAGAGAGAGGAGATCTAACTTGGTGTCTCTTATTGACTTGGTGCAGCTGAAATTCGGAAGGACATGAGTGGTCATTATCAGAATGCCCTATACCTGGGTGATGTGTCAGAGCGAGTGCGGATCCTAAAGAACTGTGGGCAGAGTAAGTATCTATCCAAGACTCACTGGTTTCTTTGGGGCCTTAGGAGTGTTTTCTGTTCAAGTTGAGTTATTCATGTGTAGGGGTGAGGAATTGCCCTCTATTGTTATTTTATCTTTTTTTCAATAGAAACGTGTATACCATGCTCAGAAGATTTTCTCAAAGCCAAATTTGAAGTGTGTCCAGAATATTCAGTCTGGCTGACATCCCTGGGAAAATGGTCATGGGAAAGGAGTGGTTTTATTTATTTATTTTAATTTTTGTTTCTTTGGTACCAGGGATTTTTTTTTTTTTTTTTTTTTTTTTTTTTAATATTTATTTTTTAGTTTTCGGCGGACACAACATCTTTGTTTGTATGTGGTCCTGAGGATCGAACCCGGGCCGCACGCATGCCAGGCGAGCGTGCTACCGCTTGAGCCACATCCCCAGCCCGGTACCAGGGATTTAACCCAGGGGCATTCAACCACTGAGTCACATCCCAACCCTTTTTTATATTTTATTTAGAGACAGGGTATCACTAAGTTGCTTAGGGTATCACTGAGTTGCTTAGAGCCTCACTAAGTTTCTGAGGCTGGCTTTGAACTCATGATCCTCCTGCCTCAGCCTCCTAAGCCACTGGGATTACAGGAGTATACAACCATACCCAGTGAAAGAGGTGGTTTTAAAGTTCCACCGCAGGACTGGGAATGTAGCTTAGTTGGTAGAATGCCTGCGTCACAAGTATAAGGCCTGGGGTTCAATCCGCAGTACCACAGCAAAAAAAAAAAAAGAAGAAGAAGAAGAGAAGGCAAACAATTGACATTAGTGATGTCAAGAGTACAATTCATTGCTTTCTCATTCAAATACCTTAAAGTCCCAGAGCAGACAGCCTAGAAAATGCAATTGGTTGGATGTCATTAGAATTCCTTTGTTTCCAGTGTAGAGATTTCACTCGTTATTTATTCATGTGTGCATTTAAGGCTTCTTTGTTGTTGTTGTTGTTTAAAATTCACTGTGTTTGAGATATATTTTAAGGAAGAAAAAAGGTGAAAATTATGGTTTGATCAAGATACTAACTAGTGGAGGAATAAGCAATGGTCAGATTCAGGAGTTTGGTTTTTCTGGTTTTGTTTTGTTTTTGGTAACAGGTATTGAACCCAGGGACACTTAACCACTGAGCCACATCCTTAGCCCTTTTTATTTTTTATTTTGAGGCAAGGTCTCAGTAAGTTGCATAGGGCCTTGCTAAGTTGCTGAGGCTGCCTTTGAACACCCAATCTTTCTGCCTCAGCCTCCCCAGTCTTGGGGATTACAGGGTTGTACCACCGTGCCCAGCTTGGGATTTATTTTGAAAATAGAACCAATATGACTTGTTAAAGTGCTAGATGTAGGACATGATAGGACCCAAGGTTGTCATGAACACTAATGATTTATCTTAAAAATGAGTAACTATATTCATTACCAATTAATCAATGTGCAATAGATCTACCTAAAACCTGGTACAGACTGAGCATTCCTAATCCAAAATGTTCCAAAATCCAAAACATCTTGGTACCAACATGGTCAAAAATTTTTAGAGGGGGCTGGGGATGTGGCTCAAGCGGTAGCGCGCTTACCTGGCATGCATTCGGCCCGGGTTCGATCCTCAGCACCACATACAAACAAAGATGTTGTATCTGCCGAAAACTAAAAAATAAATATTTAAAAAAAAAAAATTTTTAGATTTTGAAACATTTTATGTTTCGTATTTCTGGATTAGGGATAATTAACCAGTAAAGTCTGCAATATTCCAAAATCTGTAAAGGGGAAAATCTTTGAAACACTTCTGGTCTCAAGCATTTAATTTGTAGTTTAAAACAACAAAGTTCATTACCTCACTGTTTGGAGAATGGCTTAGCTCTTGTCTATCCGAAGTCTATATTCCAGATTGAATTCTCCTAATTCCACTTCTACTCATGGGTGTTGGTATTCCTCAGGTCCTTTCTCTGCTGTCCGGGAGGCATCATTTCCTTGCCATATTAACTTCTTTTTTTTTTTTTTTTTTTAAGAGAGAGAATTTTTTAATATTTATTTTTCAGTTTTCGGTGGACACAACATCTTTATTTTATTTTTATGTGGTGCTGAGGATCGAACCCACTGCCCCGCGCATGCCAGGCATGCCCATTACCGCTTGAGCCACATTCCCAGCCCCCATATTGGCTTCTTAATAGGGAAGTTCACAACATGGCAACTGGTTTCCTTCAGAGTAAGTGAGCAAGAAGTACTCTAGATAGAAGCTACAGCCAAGCACAGTGGCACAGGCCTGTAATCCCAGTGTCTCAAATCTGAGGCAGGATGATTGAAAGTTCAAGGCCTGGACAACTTAGTAAGACCATGTCTCAAAGTAAAAAGGGACTGGTGTCATAACTCAGTGGTAGAGCACCCCTGGATTTAATCCCCAGTTCTCGGGGTGCCGGGGGGGAATCATAAGCTAATCTTGGAAATGATATCCCATTACTTCTGCCATATTCTGTCTTTTAGTAGCTAGTAGCTTTCAATTAAATAGGGGAGGATATTATGCAAGCACTTGAATACCAGAAGATAGGGATCACTGGAAGGTCATCTCAGTCTACCACATTCACTTGGAAATGTGCCTAGAACACAAACTGTTTTTTTCTACAGAGTCCCTGGCCTATCTCACAGCTGCTACCCATGGCTTAGATGAAGAAGCTGAGAGCCTGAAAGAGACATTTGACCCAGAGAAGGAGACAGTGAGTCTTTATTTTCATGAGTGTCTCTGAATATAGGATTAACTCAGATCTAGGAACAATTTAAAACTATAAATTTTATTCTTCCCACCTGGTTACAGAGAAAGACTGAGAAATACATGAGCTCAAATAACCTTTTCTACAAGATTCCTGAGAGCTGTTCTTGTGTTTAACCTCTTTTCTTCTTCGACCTCTCAGATCCCAGACATTGACCCTAATGCCAAGCTGCTCCAGCCACCTGCACCTATCATGCCATTGGATACCAATTGGCCATTATTGACTGTGTCAAAAGGCTTCTTTGAAGGCTCCATTGCCAGCAAGGGTCAGTGCCCATTTCTTCCATGGCACTTCTGTTGTTTTGTAAGAACTATCCTAGAGAGTACCATTAGCACTTAGTTTCATCTGTCCTTTGTATGTATGAAGCCTCATGGAGCACTGAAATGCCAGTCAGAGCTATGGTCTTAAAAACTGAACAAAGGCTTTTTTTTTTTTTTTGCCGGGCAGGTGTTTGGGGGGGGGGGGGGCTTGGAATATGGGAATTGAACCCAGGACCTGACACGTGCTAGGCAAGTGTTCAATCACTGAACTACACACCCAGCCCCATGAACAAAGGCTTTTTGAGATCAGTAAAAATAAAAAGGAGTTGAGAAGAGAAAGAAAGGATCCCTCTACTACCACTAGTAACCTTTGTAAATATTTTGGTATATTCACTAGGTTTTACCATATATATAGTCATATTGTCTGTTTGTATTTTATCATTTATGACATGCAGTCCTGAAGTACAAATTCAGCTACCTCTAATTATGTCCAGCGGGTATATGTATACTACCATTCTCTACTTCTACCACTGCCTCTACCACTGCCTCCCTTACCTCCTCCTATTTTCTTGGATACACATACTAGTCACTTCTAATAAGATCCTAAACTATCTCCTCCACCTACCCTGTGTCCTCATGCTTTGCATACACTACATTGATAACTTAGCAAAGATCTCAAGAAGAAATTCCAAGAGTTGGGAGCCAAAGACTGGTAAGCAGGAAGAGCCAGTTTGTGGTAGCAGTAAGTCTGGTTATCTCTTGTTCCCTCTCTCTGTGAAGCCTATTACAAGTTAGCACAACATATAACCACAAAAATAAACAGTATATGAAAATAATAAGCAGACAAGACCTAGGCAACTGTTTTTGAAAGGATGCAACTTGCCTACAGAGAAGACCGTATTTCAGACTTTGCTGGGCTCTAACCAGCTTATTTCTATTCCTTCCGTTGGTAGGGAAGGGAGGAGCACTGGCAGCTGACATTGACATTGACACTGTTGGTACAGAGGGCTGGGGAGAGGATGCTGAACTGCAGCTGGATGAAGGTATGTATGGGGAGATGGACTCCCTGCATTGGGACTAGTTGTGGAGCACTTCTTTAGGCTTCCAAACCATGGAGCCTGCTAGGATCCCATCATGTTGCTTTCTTTTTTTTTTGGTCCCAGGGATTGAACTCAGGCAGTGGGCCACTGAGCCATATCCTCATCCATATTTTGTATTTTATTTAGAGATAGGGTCTCACTGATTTGCTAAGTGCTTCGCCATTGCTGAGACTGGCTTTGAACTTGGAATCCTCCTGCCTCAGCTTCCCAAGCCTCTGGGATTACAGGCGCCCGGCCACATGTTGCTTTCTTTTGGCTAAGATTATACCAGTACCCAAATCTGTTTTGATCTGGATTTTCCTTACAGATGGGTTTGTGGAGGCTACAGAAGGTTTGGGGGATGATGCTCTTGGCAAAGGACAGGAAGAAGGAGGTGGCTGGGATGTAGAAGAAGATCTGGAGCTCCCCCCTGAGCTGGTATGTGGAATTCTTACCCTCTGCATTTCTCCCTGTGACAGCCAGTGGCCTTACCACAGCCCCCTACACACACCTGCCCTGAGGTCTCCAAAAGGTAGGGGTCTAGATAGGCCTCCTAATCTGATGCTTATCTCCCGTTTGAAAGAAGGAAGAATGAGAGTCTTGAGTTAGTGGCCTTATCACTTTCATTTGTCCTTAAAGAGGAAGGACCTATCTCTAATTTGATACTTATCTCCCATTTGAGAGAAAGAATAATTAGGGTTGTGCCAGCAGCAGCTTATGAAAAGGGCAGCAGGTTTTCAAAATCTAAATTGGGACTTCTGGTAGGTATGTCATTTCATTCCTGGTGATGTGGCTCCTATTATGGGGGTCTCCTCCCACAAATGCCACTCCCTCTCACCAATAGAGGTAGGAAATAAGTGTTTTAGATTCACAGAATGAAGTATTTGAATGGCTTAAAAATGACTTACATTTTGTTTTTCCTTTAGGATGTACCCCCTGGAGCAAGTGGTGGGGCTGAAGATGGGTTCTTTGTGCCCCCAACTAAGGGAACAAGCCCAACTCAAGTAAGAAGGAAAGCACAGCCCCATGGGATGAGTGTTTCTGTGATGGTTAATAATGGATTAGTGTGGGGAAAGTATTGGATAATTTTTTTTTTTTTTTTTTTTGTACCAGGGATTGAACCCAGGAGGCTTAACTACTGAGCCACATCCACAGCCCTTTTTATATTTTATTTAGAGACAAGGCCTCACTGATTTGCCTAGGGCCTTGCTTAGTTGCTGAGGCTGGCTTTGAGATCCTCCTGCCTCAGCCTCCTGAGTCACTGGGATTATAGGCATGTGCCACTGCACCCAGCTAAATACTTTTCTTTTAATACATATGGAGGAGGATAATTTGCGAAGAAAAAAGGCAAAATTTCACTTGGATTGGCTTTTCTGCTTCTTGTTAGATCTGGTGCAATAACTCTCAGCTTCCAGTTGATCACATCCTGGCAGGCTCTTTTGAAACAGCCATGCGGGTAAGTCTTCTTAAAGTAACCTTGGCCTTTTCTCTTGAGTATACCTAGCCCAGGGGCTCAGGGAGAAGGTTGACTCATTTTTTTTAACCAGACGGCAATGATCTGACTCACAAAGACAGAGGTGTGTATTTATCATGAACGCTCTTTGTCTTGCTTAAGAAACTTGCCTTTTAAGACCTTCCTCTTACCTGCTTTCCTCCTGGCCTAGTAATCTTATAAGGTTGATCCTTCCAGCCATTTCCACTCCTTTATATCTTGTTTTCTGGCTCACATTAGTGAGATCAGCATCCCTTCCTGAACAGGTGTATGTTTTGAACACTAAGCCATGTGTTATAACAGTAATAATAACTGCAACAATCACTAACATTTTTTCACTGTACACTGTGGGCAAAGCACTATGATAAATACTTGATAGATATTATTAAATAAGTAGATCCTTACAATTAAGTGTATTTTACTGAAAACGAGTATAGAAAAGTTAATTACTTAGGGAATAGGGGTGGGAGGGAAAGGGAGGGAGAAGGGGAATAGCATGGATAGTGAAAGGAGACCCTCATCACTATACACAATATATGTATGAAGATGTGAATTTGGTGTCAACATACCTTATATATAATCAGAGATAGATAAATTATGATATAATGGTGTATTAAGAATTGTAATGCATAAATAGTTAATTACCTTGCCCAAGGTCAATTAGTTTTTAAGGGTAAGGCCTTAAATTGTGATTCTTTCCCTTTCTCTGTGTTCTAGCTCCTTCATGACCAGGTAGGAGTAATTCAATTTGGTCCCTACAAGCAACTATTCCTACAGACCTATGCCCGAGGTCGTACCACCTATCAGGCTCTGCCCTGCTTGCCCTCCATGTATGGCTACCCTAATCGCAATTGGTAAGGCTTCCTGCTCCTTGTTTCTAACTTCCAAGCTGGGGTAGAGGTTTCAGATTGTAGCCTCAGTGACATAGTCAGAATTGTCCCAGAACTAGGGTTTTGTAGTAGGAAAAGATCTTTGGCTTTTTACTCTGAGGAGTTAGATTTACATCTGCTGCCATCCAGTTCCCTAGCTACTTTCACAGTAGGGTAGCTGTGATTGTTTGCCAGAAAAAGAAGTTGAATCCTAGTTGGCTGCTGACTCTCCGTTTTTTCCCCCTACTTTTCCCTTTCCAGGAAGGATGCCGGGCTGAAGAATGGTGTGCCAGCTGTAGGCCTAAAGCTTAATGACCTCATCCAACGTTTGCAGCTGTGCTACCAGCTCACCACAGTTGGCAAGTTTGAGGAGGCTGTGGAAAAATTCCGTTCCATCCTTCTCAGTGTGCCACTTCTTGTTGTGGACAATAAACAAGAAATTGCAGAGGTAGGAGCGTCTAACCCCTTGTCCCAGACTTAGGCACTGCCATATTCTTGTTTCTGTATCATGACCTTCTTCT